GGCGTTAGAGCACCTGAGCTGTCCTACCAGGCTCTCAGAAGGAAGGACAGGTCCCAAACTTCCCCTCTCCCCACTTCCTGCCTACTGACTCTGCGGCCTCTGTGAGAGACACCAGAGTTAGGACCAGGGGCAACTAGAGAAAGGGAGAAACAGGGAGAGAAACAGAGAGAGTTCAGGCAGGTCATGAGAGCGCTGAGAACTGGGGGATGACCAAATTAGCCCAGGGTTTACAGTTTCCAGGCTCCTCACTCTGGCAGGGAACACAATGGGTGTGCAGGCCATGGCTGAAATTACCCCAGGCCATCCCTACTCCAGGGCCAAAACCCAGTGCCTAGAATCCAGTTTCCAGGGTATCACACTGCCTAGAACTCATCTGAACCCACAGCCAAAACTTGAGGGACAGCTGAAGCCATAAGGCAGAACTGGAGACCTCAGGGAGACCAAGCCCCCAGGGCCTGGGGTCTGGAAGAGAAAGAGGGAACCATCACAGAGTCACCAGGAAGTGGGTGGTGGGGGAGAAGATGTAAGCGGGCAGGAAGGGGGACCAGTGCCCCCAACCTAAACCAGAGAGACAGTCCTGCCTATGGGGGCCAGAACTGCTCCCAATCTCTCTCAAGGCCCCTCCTTGACTCTGCCCTCCCTCAGCAGCCCCCAGTATAATCAGAAGAGGCCTTGACAGATCTCAGGCCAGAAGAGTCCCCCAACTCCAACCCACAGACTCCTTACAAATCTGTGCAGCACAGCTGGATGAGGACATAGGCATCATCTTGTCCACATGCCCTCTTGATTTCACAGAAGGGGAGGCTGAATTACAGAGAAAGGCCAGGGCTGCCAATGTACTTTATGGAACCCTCTCCACTATTACATAAAGTAATGCTCTGTACCTCTCCAATTTTCCCACGGACAGATCCACATTTTGATCTGCTATAGGAAAGCCACATGAGGAAGGGCAAACCCATGTCAACTGTGGGCCCCCAAACTCAAACATCCTATAAGGGGTCTGGCCAGTAGGGCAGCAAGGCTCTTGAGAAAGCTCCATGAGCCTTACATCTCCTTATATATTTATAACAAAGAACCAGATAGGAATCTTTAAAACCAGTCCCTGAAAAACATCTAAGCGATTAGATTAGAATTCCTTCTAATTATCACCCAGAATATCTTGGAGCAGCTAAAAGCCTCTGACATTAGTACCAGCAGATGCCTGAAGCCTCTGGGGCCCAAGTTGACAGGAGTCCTGTGTCATTAACATTCTTAAAACTACCTAGGCACTTCCAGGACCAGTGAAGCTCCTTCAGACCTGGACACCTGTCCTATGAGCACACTCAAAAGGCTCCTGCAGAAGTCACTGTCCATGGCCCTCCTTCAGCCCCACCCTGAAGGCCCCCCCCCCAACAAAGACTCACCACTTGTGGCTTGCTGCAGCACTTGCTGGCTGGAGCAGGCTCACCTGCAGCCCGGGCTGCCTCAGGTGGCTTGGCCTCAGTAGAGGGCGGTACAACCTGAGTCAAGCAGGTCATATCCACTGGCACTGGGGCAGGGACCTCACCGGAGTGGAGGGTCAGCATGTGCTGCTTAGTGATGTCCTCAAATGATGGTGCCTGCAACATGGTGTGGGCTTGGGCAGGGAAGCCCATGGGCTCTGGCACAGCCACAGGGGGGCTAATGGAAGTTGGCGGCTCAGGCATCATGATAGGCATGAAGGTGGTGGGCACACTGGCATGGCGAACATGTTTGGAGGAGGGTCGGGCCCGAGACAGGCTACCAGTCTGGTCCTGAGTGCCCTCCTCTCTCTGTAGCTCCTGCTGACTGCTCCGGGCTGGGCGCTTCTTGGAACCACGGCGGATGAGCCGTGGGGACAGAACGTCAGCCAGTTTAGGATCAAGGTGGAAGTCATGGGCAGTGGAGGGGGCAGGTGGGGCCTCGGGTAGGGCCCTCTCAGACTGTGCCCGGCCCCTGGCAGGATTGGGCTCTTCAGGTTCTGCCTGCCGTTCTGCAAGGATGGGCTCGCTGCTGGATGGAGGTAGCACGGGCTCAACCTCTCGGATGGGCTCCCCTCCAGGGCCCTCAAATCCAGGACCAGCCAGCTCCCCGCGGCGGCTGGGGTCACTCAGAGATTTCTTTTTGGGGGCTTTGCCAGCCACTCTGTCATCCACCACACACCCCAAGGTACCAGGCCCCTGAACAATGCTTTGAATAACCTCCTGGTATCCCTTGCTCTCTTCACTGCCCACAGACCAGTCACTGTGGCCGCTGGTCAAGCCCTCGTCCACAGCTGGGGCTGCTGGAAGCCCTGTCTTGGGGCTCAGAGAGCCCAGGAGGTTGCTATCCACAGAGAACCCAGAGGGGTCCTCAGAGGTGGTGGCCCGGTGGCGCTGTGGAATTGGGTCACTCAGAGACCGGTAGGCCTCACCTGCCTCTCCGTTGTTCAGTTCAGTCCCACCAGGGCCTGAAGGTGGGACTTTACGTCTCCGGCGGAGGGCACCTGGTGTGGGAGGGGTATCAGGAGACACTAGGGCCCACCCTCCCAGACCATCTTCAGCCCCAGAGCCATGATGGTTGGTCTCAGCTGAAGATGAGGAAAGGGGTCGCCACACCCCTGTGGTACCCAGGCTGCAAAAGGCTGAAACAGGAGGCTCAGGGTCCGCCCCAATGCCCTCATCTGTCAGAGTGGACTCAGGGCCGGAGAGCTCTTCCTGGGACCGCTGCCCTTGGGTTATGTCTCCTGCCCAGTCAGGGCTTCCAGGCGGGACATCACTTCCATCATCCTGCTGGGCACCCATGCGCTGGATCTTCTCAAAAACCTGACGGGCCTCCTGCACATACTGATCCTGGACGACAAGGGGCAGTGGGTCGTCCTCGGCACCTGTGCCTGCCAGCAGGAGTTCAGAGGAACTGGGCTTCAGGGCACCAGTGCGGGGTAGACGGCGGGCCATGGGCTTCTCAGAGCAGGTAAATGACTTTGCCCTTCGAAGGGTGGCTGTCAAGTCCTTCAGTGTGGGGCGGGTGCCAGGTAAGGCTGGGGCTGGGGTGGGCATGGGCCCAAGTTGCCCCACTGGGCTACCGGCTGATGGTGAGTCTCTGCCATCTAAGGGGCCACTCCCAAGGTCCCCGGGTCCCCCACTTGGCTTTCGGACTCTCAGCTCTGAAAGGTCTGAACGCAGGAAACTGAGCAGCGTCAGGGTCTCTGAGGCGATATCTGGATTCGACAGGGACTTCCGTTGCCGGCTCTTGTCCAGCTCCAATCCTCCATCCCTCAACACCCTTGAGGAGCCCACAGGTCCCTTGGTGCGGGTTCGCGTCTGGGGCCTTAAGAGCCCTTCCCCAGCTCCGAAGCTAGGGGAGCGATACACGCCCCAGCTCCCAGAACCCCGGCTAGCCCACAGGTCCTCATCCTTGAGGGTCTCCGTGCTGGAATAACGGCTGCTACCACGGGAACCTGCAGGGCTGGCCAGGTACGCGGGGAAGCTCACCTTGGCCACGCGAAAAGCTCCCCCCACGGTGTCGGACAAGGGCCGAAGTCCTTCCTGGGGACCTTGTACACAAGGAGAGCCAGTACCCCATTCCGGGGGTCCTTCCTCGATAGGGGCTCTTGGAGATATTGGGGGATCGGGGCTCCTGGCTCGCCCTGCCGAGTCCATGCTGCCCAGATTTAACCCATAACTGTCCGGCTTACAGTCCTTAACCAAGAGAGAGCTTTCAGGCCTGGGCCCCGGCCTCCCTCTCCAGCAGTGGCCGCCCTCACCGTCTTGGTCCTCGTCACTGCCTGAGGAGTGGCCGCCGTGGTAGGCCGGACTCTGTGCCCTGGGCAGCGGCGGCGGCGGACCCTCCTCTTCCTCCTCGCTGGAGCTGGCAGCCCGGCTGCGGCTGACAGGATAGGAGGAAGCAATGGAGGAGGAGGAGGAGCAGGAGGCCCGGGCCCAGGCCTGCGGTTGGGAGAAGCTATGCCAAGAATGTAAACCATCCACCGGACGCTGCGCTCGCTCCTGTTGCTGCTGCTGCTGCCGCCGCCTCCTCCCCTCGGTCCCTGGGCCGGGCAGCGGCCGCGTCGAACGCAGGCCCGCCAGGGGGAAGCAAGTCCTAGGAGGTGGCGTCGGTGGCTGCCGGGATTCCCGGGTCGGGGGCTCCCACGCGGCACCGTCGGGGCTGGGTGTCCCTGAGGCCTCACAGTCGGCACTGGGCCGCCTGGAGCCAGGGCCACTGAAGAGCTTGCGCATCTCGGTGACGCTGGGCCAGGCCCCGCGCGCGGCTCCCTCCGCCGCTTCTTCCGCGGCCGCGGGGGAGACGCCCCCGTCTCGGGTCCCAGTGGAGTTGTCGTCCAGACGCGGCGCGTCGAAACGCCTGGAGAGCTGGCGCACCGACGGCGAGAGGCTGCGGAGCGGGCGCGGCTGCGCGGGGGCGGCCGGGGGCCCCGACGCCAGCTTGGACACGCGCCGGGAGGGCTGGCCCGGGACGGCCGAGGCCGGCCGGCACGAGGCGCGGCGCCGCAGCCCGGGGAGATCTGTGGCCTCCTCCCTCGGCCCAGGTCCGCCGCTCCAGCGCTCTAGCAGCTTGAACGAGACGCTGCGATAAAGCGGGGACCGGGTCGCCCCGTCCGCCATAGTGGCGGCACTCACTCTGGGGGGGCTGGCCTCGGGGAGCCGCGGCCAACCCCCCCTGCGCCCCCGCCCCGAAGGAGCGCAGCGGCGGGAGTCTGAAGGCTTGGGTCCCGCAACCGCAGTGCGAGGGGTTTGCGGAGAGCGTGCACAGACCGGAGCAGAGCTTTATCTGCCGCGGCTCAAGTTTCTGCGGCCTTGGGAAGCATCGGCTCCATCCCGTGCGACCCCTCCCGCCTCAGCGTCGACTCCTGGGCCCAGCCCCCGCCTCGCCCGGTGAGGCCTGGAGCATCGCGGCCCGACTCGGTCTTGGCTGGATCCCAGCGCTCCGTTCCTCGGCTTTGCGCCCGCCAGCCGGCCTGGCTGCTTCCCCTCGCGCTCCCGCTCCGGCTCCCGCTCCCTCCCTCTTGGCTGCTTGCTCCTCACTCCCTTTTGTTGCAAATAAACTTTGTGGCTGAGGAAAGGGGGTGGGGGCGGGGCCTCGCGCCCAAAAGAGGGGGTGGGCTCCCGGCGCACGCAAGGCTGGGAATCCGGAGTTGGGGTGGGGGAGGGAATCGGGGAGGAGCCAAAGGAGAAACAAGATTGCTTGAATACTGGCAGACAGAATCGGCCCTCCAGATAAGCCCCTCGGGAGCTCAGCGGGCTGAACTGTCCCCCGACCCACGCACTCGGTCCGACACAACGCACACTCTGGATGTGGTCAGCTCCGCGGGAGTCCAATCAGGGCAGCGCACTCACTGATTTCGGGCGGAGACACCTCCTGCCCAAGGGACCCGAACATGGCAACTTCGGACCCACTAACTCGTACACACCACGGATACTCAGGTACACGCAGAAACACCCTCCTAGCAGAGAAAGGGCGGGACTTGCCGCCAGGGGGAGCAGTGCGCGTCGCAGACCGACCTGGGCGACAGCCGCTCCCTGTCCCGCCCCTTCACTCCGCCCAGGCCACGCCTCCTACCAGGTTTCCCATCTGTAACTGAGACCGGGTCCAGCTCCTCGCGCTCCCGAACGCCCCGCCCATCCCACCTCTGCGGCCAGTCCAGCAATGACTGTCCCCCCGACCCTCCCCCAACCCTCCCCTCCAGAAGCTCCACCCTTTGTTACCACGCCCCCAGTTTCCAGCTGCCCGCCCTACCCAAGCTCCTCCACCTTCCCCCGCCCTCTAGGCACCTCTCTCTTCGATGCTCCGCCCTTCGCCCCGCCCCCTCCTTCCCCTGCACTCTATGGTACGTGGCTCTTGCGCCCTCTACTGGCCGACTTCGCCCAACCCTTTGGAACCCTGGACTCGCTCGTCACCCCCATACCCCCATACCCCCACCCCCTTGCCCCTGCCTCCTACACACACCAAAAAAACCCCGGGAAGTTGGGAAGACTTCACTTCCTTTACTTGCTTCTAGTCCTTTACTAGTCCCTTCAGTAACCGCTTCGAACCTAATCCCTTCTCAAAGCACCCTGCCCCTCCTTCGGCTTCACATAAAAAAGGCGCTTCTACGGGATGGCCCTTCCTCGATTTACCACTGCCAAACCTACATTCCTACCGGCAGCTGCTCCACTCTCTTGACAGGCAAGGTGTGATTCAATTCTCTTGCTTCACACTGATACAACCCTGAACTCCCCTCCCGTCTCTGCCCTAGTCTGGCTAGTGTCGAATTATATGTGATACAGAATTGGATTATTTGTAACCTTTTGTTCATGACACATTCTCACCAGTTGTTTAATTGATTCCCACCAAAAACCCCCAAACAACCAGGGCCTTTACAATGTCCTACATCTCATTATATAGTCCCCCACCACCCATAATAACCGTCACCTCCTGTGTTCAACATTCCTTTGCTTTCTTTTTTATATAGTTTTATTGCATCTGTTTATTCCTTCAAAATATATTTTTTCATTTAAGTTACTTTTAACTTTATAAAAAGGACATCTTGCTGTGTATAATTTTGGGGGATTTCTTTGTGCTTAATATTATACTGTTATGATTTATCCATATTGTTGCGTGTCAGTACAGTACCTTCTGGCTGCATGTAATAGTCCAAAGTGTGCCTATAGCACAGGGTATTCATCCACTCTCTTGTGAGTGGGTATTTGGGTGTTTGCAACTGTTTGCGCTTGTGAACAGTGCTGCTCTGAGCATTGTGCATAACCTCAGGTTCATATGCGGAGAAGTGCTAGGGCAATGGCCATGCGATTGTTCAGGATCTGGGAAGCATTGTCAAGCTGGTGTCGAATATCTCTTCGATGTTTTTTGATAATCTGTGTTTCCTTTTCTGTGAAGTGCCTGTTTGTGCCTCCTGCCCATTCTATTGGGTTATAATACTCTCTTGTACTATATGAAAATGCTGCCCTAACTTTTCCATGCTCCATACTCTTGGGCTCGTAGAATTGTCACTGTTTTAGAGGTAAGGAAATAGAGGCTCAGAAAAGTGAAGGGGGCTTGTTCAAAGTCACAGAGTCAGAAACAGCCCTCCTGCACTTAACAAATGCCTTCAGAGGCTGGAAGACTCGGCTAAAACAACTTTTTTGTACCTCAAACTGGGTCAGGATTCCCCTGGTCCTCAGCCTTTATTGGACCCCGACTATCTTCCTCTTGAGATCTTCCTCTTGAGAACTTCCTTGCCCCGGCCCTCTTTATGTTCTTCTGAACTCCTCTCCCTGTAATGATCCAGATGTGTATTTGTTTATTTCATTATTGGCATTAGCCTAGGAGCTCCTTGAGGGCAGGGACCCACTGCCCAATATGACGCAGGTGCTCAGTAAATGTTTACTGGATGAACTGTATCCTTGTCTGTACCTCAACACCCTGGATTATTTCTGAGGATAGGGCTGCTGAGAATGGGGCTTTTTTGGAGGGGGGAGGCAATTAGGTTTATTTATCTAGTTAGTTATTAACGGAGGTACTGGGGATTGAACCTAGGACCTTGTGCATTCTAAGCATGCACTCTACCACTGAGCTATACCCTCCCCTGGAGAGTATTTGTTGAACAAATGAATGAGGGAAGGAGGATCCAGCAGTATCCATTGTTAAGATAGATCCAATGCCCCTGGGCTTTTCCTTTTGGAATGGAAATCTGAGACAAGCCCCAGTTACCAACTCTGAGGCTTCTCCATCTTTGGCCTTGCCCTCTGGCTCCCGGTCCTCAATCTCCCGCAGCCAACACTCACAGGTATCCTGTCTTATAAGCACCTTCCCTGGGCCTGGCCTCCTTTGGAAACTTCCTCTCTCTTTTCTTCCCCACCCATCACCTCCACTTCCTCCCCTCCAGCTGCTCCTTCACTCACCCAACTCCACTGCCCCATCATGGCACCATCATTCAGAGACCCTAGGCTTTGGCCTTCCACCTCTCTGGCTCCTCCTCCTCCTAGCCCCCTAATGTTGAAGTTCCCAAGACCTGATCCAGAACCCTCTCTTTTTCTTACTGTCTCCCTCAGGAAGCCCATCCATTCTCCCAGCCTCAAGCCAAAAGTCAGATGTTCATTCCCGAGGCTTTGCAACTCTTTAGGAAGCCTTCCTGGGTGTCTCCAGGTTCTGTTGATTCCTAGCTCCCACTCAGGTGGAGGCCTCACCCCGAGGCTAGACCCTGGCCCACTCCCCAGGCCAGGACACTGCCTGGCCTCCACCAAGGTCCACCATCTCAGTATGGAACCTGGGTAAAGGGGTTAGTTTTGGCGGTGGGTAACAAAGGCCTGAAAAACTAGTAGCTTAAAAAAGATAGACATTTATTTCTCTCTCATGTAACACCTGGGCTGCTTGACCTAGCACTGCATTGTGTAGGGACTAAGAACCAGTCTCTGTCTTCTGATGTCCCCAGACATCTATCTCACTGTGACCCAAAGAATCAAAGTTCCTTCTGTCCAAATTGTCAGTCTCTCCAGTAAGGGCATTTTGAAAGGATTCCCAAGATGGCTTGAGCCTGGTTTTCCCCCTTTTTCCACCAGCTGCAAGCATGTTTCTGACATTACTGTGGAGTTTTAACTCCTGCAGAGTCTTTTTCTAAATGTCCTCAACATGCCTTGGAGATTAGGCAGCTAAAAGAAAAATACTGAATAAGTTATACAGTCTTCTCCTCCCTGCCCTGTCCCTCTGTCCTTCCCTCTGCCCACTCAACCTTCTCAGGTGGAAGGCTCCTTTGCCATGACTGGTTCTGTCAGTATGGGGTCTGCGTGGCCTACAAGCAGCCAAGAGCTGTGGCCAGATTGTTCTACGGGAGGAATACTGAGATCTGGCAGGAAGGAATAAGGATTGGAGGAGAAGTGAGGGGGAATGGGGCAGGGGTATGTGTGGGGATGAGAACAAAGAGCAGAGAGGATGAGGAGCAGCAGAGGAGTGGCTGAAAGAGACATGTGCAGTAAAAAAAATTTTTTTCAATGAGATAATAAGTTTCTACCGTATAGCACAGGGAACTATATTCAATATCTTGTAGTAACCTATCATGTAAAAGAATATGAAAAGGAATATATGTATGTATGTGTGTGACTGAAACATTATACCATACACCAGAAATTTACACAACATTGTAAGCCGACTATACTTCAATTAAAATAAAAAGTGACACGTGCAAGAGGAGAGCAGGTGAAGAGGACTAGGAAGGGCTTTGCATGGTATAATTCCCTTTTGCTGCCTCCTTGGGGACCTTCAGTGAAGATGCCTTTCCAAAGTTTTTTAAGAGGCCTCCGTAAGAGATGGCCTCCAGGCAGCCCTCCAGGTACCCACAGGCCAGAACGACAGGGGGTGAGGGGGCAGGGGTGGGGGTGGGTACCTAGCAGGAACAGTCTGTCATGAGGCCAGTCTGCAGGCTCCCAACTTTCAGGAAGCGGCCTCCTGGTGGTCCTGGGGGTGGCCCTGCATCTCCTCAAGCTGCTGTCTTCTCCTTTAAGAATGAAGCAATGTTACTATATACAAAATAGATAAACAACAAGGACCTACTGTATGGCACAGGGAACTATATTTAATTTCTTGTGATGAGCTGTAATGGAAAAGAATCTGAAACAAAATATGTATGTATATGTATATGTGTGACTCAGTCACTTTGCTGTACACCTGAAACTAACATTATAAATCGACTACAGTTCAATAAAAAATAAGAATTAAAAAAAAGCAAGCTGTAGAATAGTTAATGTCCTGGAGAAATGTACATGAAATGGTATGTAAAAAAATAAGGCTACAAAGTAGAATGTTTACTGTAACTGAAAATTTATTTTGAATTTTCCTAATATTCTAATGAATGCACATATTTTACTTTTAAAAGAAAAATAAACTTTAAAAACAGTTAAAATGATGAGTTAACTCAAATTTGAGCTTTATTGTGAGCTAAACAGGGTTTTTTATGTTGGCTTAGAGAACAGATGTGTTCACTTATCATATAAATTCATTTTTTTTAACTGAAATGCAGTCAGTTTACAATATTGTAAACTGTAATTTCTGGTGTACAGTATGGTGATTCATTTATACATATATATGTATTCCTTTTCATATTCTTTTTCATTGTAGGCATATAAGTTAATTTATAAATTAACATACATTTTCATAAAATTAAACATGTATGGGAACTTCATATATTGTTCAAGGCCCTGAAAATAAAACCTACAATGCATTAAAAAAAAAAAAAAAAGGATGAAGCAATGTTGAAGGGCTGTTCCCCTCACTTCGGAGCCCTGGTGGAGGTGTCACCAGGCATCTGAAAGAGGCACATTTGGAGAGGTGGGTGGAGGAGAGGTGGGGTCTGGGGCTCTGCCTAGCATTTAATGCCCTACTCCCAGCCAGCTCCATTCCTTGCCACCCTTCTCCGCACACCCAACTAAACTGAAACTCACTGTTACTTTACAGCCAGGCTCAGTGCATCTCTGCCTCCAGGTTTTGTACACACAGCGTCTTCCAACAAGAGCAGCCTCCTCCTCTCTGCTTTTTGGATTCCTCCCCAGCTCAAGCTCCACGCCTTTGAAGATGCACTCCCTAATGCTTCCCTTAGCTGAGCCCCCACTGCCTCAAGCATCTGGCCCATTCTTGCTATTATCTGGAGAGTGGCCACCGCACAGGTCTTGGTTTCTCAGCTTTCACACACAGGAGACCACATTCCCTCCACCCCAGGTCTCTGCCTGTCTTCCCGAGGCTGCACTAACGTGCACCCTACTTCTGTTTGCAGAGCTCCCACTAAGCCTTCAACATCTGGTTCAGACACCCACCCTTCTATCCCCCACCCCCACCACCAAGAGATCTTTCCAGACTCCTTGGACTGGGTCATGGGCATCCTCTGGGCACCCCTTCTCCTTAGTCATACTTCCCGCTGTCACAGCCTTGACATCACTGTGTCAGTGCCTCTAGAAGTTGAGAGTTTGTATGGGGCAGGGCTCAAGCTGGTTCTTCTGGGGCCCCAGAACCAACCCAGGCCCCAGCACAAGGTGTCAGTAAAGCTTTGCTGAATGAATGGAACATCACACATTCTGCCCAGAAAGCTCATATTCATCTCTCAAAACCCAACTCAAAAGCTCCTTCCCAGAAGCTCTCACCTTCTTATCTTCCCTTACTCCCTTTATTGGTGATGCCAAAGCATGCAGCATACTCCTCAATTATACTGCATGTCTCACTATTTGTGAGCAGCTTAACATGGCTTCTCTAACTCTCCATGGCTTCCTGGGACCTTCTGAAGAGCCAGTCCCAGGCTTTGCCTCTCTCTGTGCCCACAGGGCCTGGTCCAGAGAAAGGGATTAATAAACAGCTGTTAGTGAGATTGTGGGGTCTGTGGGAGACCTCACTCCACGCCCAGCTGAGCTAAGCTCTAATTTTCTGCATGGCTTCAGGTTGCCGGCTGCCCATGTCCCAGGTGTCCTGTCCCAATAGACTCAGTGACCCTGTCGCTGCCACTTGGCTGTGAGTTTCTGTAGCAGCTCATGTGGCCGCCGGCGGAACTTCTTCTGGGTGAAGTAGAAAAGGATGGGGTCCAGTACACTGTTGGCACTGGCGAAGGGCCGTGTGCCCTTATAGGCAGCTGCAAAGGTCTCCAGCACAGGGCAGGGGACACCAGGTGTAGAGCGCACCGCCAGATAGGCTGTCTTGGTGATGTGGAAAGGCAGGAAGCTGATGGCAAAGACAGCTGCCACCACCATAGCCATGCGGGCTGCCTTGCCACGCCGCTCCTGGGCCACAGGCCCTGCTGGGCCATCCTGGCGACACAGACGTTGGGCCAGCCGGCAGTAGCAGGCCAGCAGGGCGACAAAGGGCAGCAGGAAGCCAATGACCGTGAGGGCCATGCCATAAGGCATGTAGCTGGTGGCCAGGGCAGGGGGACTCAGGTCGTAGCAGACAGTGCGGTTACGTTGGATGCCTGTAGCAGCAAAGAGGGCTGTGGGCAGGCACTGGGTGGTCACTGCCAGCCATACAGCCCCACACACTAGCCAGGCAGCCCGGCGGCCCCCACGCTTGTGCCAGGGGGCCAGAGGGTGGCAGATGCCCAGGTAGCGTTGGAAGCTGATGCAGGTAAGAAAGAGGATGCTGCCATGAAGGTTGGCATAGAAGAGGAAGCGGACCAGGCGGCAGGCGAGGTCTCCAAAGGGCCAGTGGTCACCTCGGGCATAGTTGTAGATGAGCAGGGGCAGGGAGCAGGCATACAACAGGTCAGCCAGGGCCAGGTTCAGGGTGTACACAGCTGTGCGGGTCAGGGCCCGGCGGGATGTGCAAATCTGGGCAATGATGCAGGCGTTCAGTGGCAGGCCAGCTGCCAGCACCACCGAGTACACAGGTGGCAGCAGTAGTCGCTTAAAGTTCTCTTGGTAGACGCAGGTAGTGGGTGGCGATCCCATGGCCTGGCCTGTGCCATTGTCCCACTCCATGGCTGTCCAACTGGGCTTCCTACATCCAGAGAGCCTGGAGAAGTAACACACAACCTGTCAGTGATCACACTCATTGTGTGGCCCCTGGCCCTCTCTGGGCCTTGATCTCTACCTGAACCGTCTCTGATACTTGCCCCCACCCCTACGGAAGCCCCCACAGCCCTCACTTTAAGGAGACCTGGAATACAATAAAGCTCAAGCTTAGGAGATATACAATTCTCTTTCTTTCTATAATATTCATTTCCCACCAACTTTTCTGGTGAATTTCTATTCATTTTTCAAAACCGTAGTCAAATGTCTCCTCTGTAAGTGGAGATTAACAGACTTTGGTTTGAATCCCAGCTCTGCTACTTACTAGTTATGTGACCTTGGACTAGTGATATGATATACTTTATCTGAGCCTCAGTTTTCCCATCTGAAAAATGGGGGAAATGATGCACCCACCTCTCAGGATGTCATGAGGTTAGAGGCACTAAATCATGCGATTCAGGGCTTCCCTGGGCTCCCTGGAGTTTGGACACTGTGGTCATGGTGGGCCTGCCTGTCTATCTCTTTCCCAGATTGGGAAGCTCCTAAGAGGTGCCAGATCTGGTACTTCTCTGTGTCTGAGAGCCCAACCTGGGAACCAGGGCAGGGAAGACCATGGTAACTTAATCACACGAGCAGAATGTCTACACTTCTGAGCTAAGGACAGTGCCCACCTCCTCAGCCTGGGCTCCATCTTCCATGGTTCTTCTTTTGGCCTCAGTCTTCTTATCTGTAAAATGGGGGAAGGAGGTGATTTAGGAGTTCCCTAAGTCTCCTTCCACTGGATGGGAGGCTACAAATGTGTATCCGGGAGAAAACAAAACAAAACACTGAAGCCACAGCGCCCCCTGGTGGCCAGAGTGAAAACAGTTTCCCTGAAGGCAAATGGCTAAGGGACCAAGCATTTGTAAAGTCTATAGCTTACTTTACAGAGAGGGAAATCCAGGCATAGTGAGGGGCAGTGACTGCTCAAACTTAATAAGTTAGAAACAGAGCCAGAACCAGAATCAAACTGCCTTATTCAGAGTAGGCAACATAGTATGGCCCACAGACATGGAAAGTGGAGGTTAGAAATCTAGCTTCAGAGATAGCCAGGCCTGATTCAAATCCTGGCTCCCCTACTTCTTTGCTGTTCTATCTAGGGGATGTTGCTTGCCCTTTCTGGGCCTGTGTCCTTATCAGTAAAACTGTCATAGACCTGGTATGCAGTAGGTGCTTAATAAATGCCATGCTATTGCTTCCTACATCTTGTCCCTCCACTCATCCCTTCAGGCTCCCTTTTCAGAACCAGCAGAACAAATGCTTTATGAGGGCCCCTGGTGGGATAAGTCTGACTTGTGAATACTCAACACCCAACTGGCATTTCCACATTTACTGGTGTCCAGAGGGAATTCACAACGTAAATCCAGTGGACCTATAAGGGAAAGCCTTTGGGATAGGGAGTCAAGTCATCTCCTCTCCCCTCCCTATTTTATAGATGCAAGAAACTGAGGCAGGCCCAGAAAAAACATAAATTCCTGCAAACGCAAAAGTTATATTAAAGCAAAACATAACTCCTCAAATGAAGTTCTCACCACTTAAAATTTGATTTTGATCAAAATACTTTACCTCTGGGCAACTGCAAAATGAGGATGTTTGGATTCTCTAGTCTGTATCCCACAGGTCACGTCACCTATATGTATCAAAGATTCTTCCTGGGGCTTCAGCCCACATGCTAGGAGTACTGGGTGCCCAGCTAATCAGTTAGGCATGAGGGTGAGGCCAGTGAAGGAAGCATGATGGTCCACCCATTGTCACCAGGAAGCCAAGATTAGTGCAGGCAAGAGAAAGTGCATTCATTCATCTCTTCATTTGTGTGTTCAGGCCATTCTTTCATTCATGTATTCATTCTCTTGTTTTCACATGCCAGGCATTTCATGGGTACTCACTGCTTGCTGGATGCACAGGGCACAGTGTATAGATGTAGATGTAGACAGATACATACATACATAGATATATGCATATATGTACACAGGTACATATTCATACACAGGTACATATGCTAGTCTGAGTTGGGAGACCAGGGCAAGCCATAGGACAGAAGACATTTTCAGTGGAGGATGAAGAATGGAGCAAGTCCCTGGAGGCTAAGGAAGATTTCCATGGGTGGAGAGCGGGGTGAGGCCCCCTGGGGTGTCCCTAGGCAGGGAGGAAGGTGGAGCAGCCTGCTAGGGCAGAGGGTCATGGCAAGGAGAGGAAAGTGGGTAGAAGGAACGGCGCTGTGCCCCTGAACCCTCTCTGGGGAGGTCTGTCACCCTCAGACACCCTGAGAGAGAGCCACCTGCAGGTGACTGGAGACTCCAGGTATTTTCTGGCCCCCACTCCAGTGAGACTGGTCCTCTCTGAAGGAGGCAGGGGCTGCTCAAGCGGGCGGACCCAGGCAAACCTTCAGGTCTGCCCCAGGAAAGGCAAGCCTAAGTGTCATCCACCCTGCCTTCTGAGGACCGAGAGGGGAGAACTGCTCTCCCACTTCCTGGCAAGAGCTGGTCCCCAGGGAGGGCTTGCATAGTCCCTGCCTCCAGGTAGCAGCTGACATTGGCTCTCTCAAGCTCTCACATCTGTAACTCACTCTTGGGCCCTATGCCCTGGATCAGCTCAGACCCCAACCTCTTCCTGGGCTTCAGCTGCTCTGCCTGCAGTGGGGGGCTTTCTAACAGGTGGGCTCTGATTCCATCTTTCTCTGCATCTCTCTGCCCTCTGGAGAAAAGCTCAAACTCTTGTCCTGAAATTCAAGCTCCCTGCCAAGCTCTCAGGCCTCATCGGTCATTCCACTCTGCCCATTCCTTTCTTGCTACAGTGTTTCCAAGATACCACAGCTGTTCAGAGCCAGAGATACATATTTCCTCTCTGGCCTCCCCATCTTTGCTGTTCTCTTCAACACAAAGTGCCATTTCACCCATCTATGTCAAACTCTAAGTGTCCATCAAGCTCCAGATTCAAACTTACGCCTTCCTTTTCTGATCCCCCAGTTGGGAGGAGTCCCTTCCTCTAGGTCCCTCCAACTCTGTGGACCTCCTTTAGGTGTGCACTAGACCCAGCCTGCCTGCCCAAAGTCAGAGTTCCTTATCCCCCACCCGAACCTGCCACTGGCCTATGGCCCCGAGATGCGCCAACACTCACATGCAGTCTCTCGTTCCTGAAACGCCTTGATAACTCCAAGTGCGTTGGGTCAAGGGGAGGCCAGATATGAAATGCTCCACTCTTCTACCCTCAGCACAGGCTGTAACACCTCTGACGGGGCAGCTTCCTCTGTTTCCTGGCAGGGCTGTCTCTGACTGAAATAGCCCCTGCAAGGGCCACCCCCTCCCCGCCACCCTCAACTCCAAAGCCTGACGGAAACTGAGTCTCAGGAGCAAAGAGGAGGAGAAAAGATCTCCTTCCCGGGAACCCTCCCCACCCCAGCAGAGGAAAGAGGGTGAAGAGAGGGCAGAGAGAGAGGTGGGGGAGGACCAGAGGCTGATGGTCAAAGACCAGTCCCACAGACCCAGCAGCTTCCTTTCTCCTCAGCCCTCTCTCAGTCTTCTCATCTGTCCAATGGGTTGTTTGGTGGTTAAAGAACTTTTGGGCCCTCTTTGGCTGTAACACCCAAGTCATCTTCCCAGTCACTCCTCCATCCATCCCTCTTTTCTTCATTCATTCAATAGCTCATTCACTGATGCATCCATCCCTCTCTGGGGTCACCCACTTATACACTCACTTATTCAGCCACTTTTTCCCTCCCTCCCTCTCTTCCTTTTCTCTACAAGCATGGCAGGCCCAAAGCTCCCTGGGAGTGAGGGGCATGGGTTGAGGGGATACAGGTGATGCCCTCAGTACTCAACTGAGTGTGATTCTCCCTGTCAGTGCCAAGCCCTCCCCCAACCCCTCCTCACCACCCAGCCAGGAAGAAGAGCTGTTAGGATGTGGCTTCTTCGCTGTCCCAAGGAAGCTGACTCCAGTGCTGGAGACAGCATTCAAGGGGTGACCTGGAGGTTGTAGGCTTTCATTTGGAGCAGCTGAGCCAGCTAGGGGGTAGGACAGAATGGTGCAGGGAAAGAACACTGCCCGGGGAGTTTGAGGCCCAGGTTCTGGTTCTACCCTGGTGCCTACTCACTGTGTGACTCTGGATGAGCCCCTTCCCCCTCTCATGCAATGTGGTCATACTGGCCACCAGCATGTTGTGAGAGTGACCTGATAAAGGGAGGGAAGACTCTTTTTACTCCGTAAGGTGAAAGCACTAACCTCACCACCAAATCTATTTTACAGGCAAGGGGATTGAGGAATCCAGGCTGGGCCAAAAGTTTACACCAAACTGAGTAAATTCAGGTTTGAGCTGCCAGTAAACCCTTGGCCAGTCGTACATGAATTGAGCACCTATTGCTTATTCCAGTCTGTGCTAGGAGGTCACTTGTGCCTGCTGAGGATGTGAACCTCCTGGTCTGATCTGAGCTGTGCTGGGGCTCAGCAGGGCAAAGAGGCCTGGCCTTCAGTCCAGCAGCCAGTCCTCTGCTGGATTCCCAGGACGACCTCCTATGGTTGCCCCCACCACGGTGTCTGCCCCAAGAATAGGAGCAGCTCTGAGGGCTTCCTGAAGGTGTCAGCTCCAGGGCAAGGCTTGGGTCTCAGTTCCTGCCACCTGAGTGGGGCCCAGGAGGGAGAGCTTGGGTATTCGGGGTCATGAGTGCACCTGGGAGGGAGTGACGTGGAAGAGCTCCTAGAAAAGGCATGTCTGTTGCTGGGCTTAAAGGGCTGGGAGGGACTTAGACACATTAAAAAGAATGAAGAGGGCACCACAGGCAGGAGGCACAGAGGTAGGGGATGGATGAACCTACCCTGTCCAAGAAATGAAGAAGAAATACTGCAGCCAGAACATGGGATGAGTTGTGCGAAGAGGGGACCAGATGGGAAGCCTGAGGGGCTGGCCCATCAGGAAACCTCAAGCAGAGCTCAAGTGCCACTGCCCAGCTCCCAAGTGCCACTTCCTTGTTCTCAAGTGCCACTGCCCTGTTCCCAAATACCACTGCCCTGCTCCCAAGTGCCACTGCCCAGCTCCCAAGCCTGCCAGGGCTCCCAGCCCAGCTTCAGCCTTCCCCACTGGGCTTTCCAGCCCCCAGGCCTGTCACATGCTGTTTCCTCTGCCTGGGATGCTTTCACCCACCTTCTGTGAATAATATGACTTATCCTTCCTTTTAGTTTTCTCATCTGTAAATGAGAGTGATCACTGGTATCAACCATACAGGCTGTTGTAAGCATTAAATGAAACCATGTATGTGAGCTGCCCTAGCACACAGCAAGTATGCGACAAACGTTTGTTAACTGAATGAACCAGTTCCAGGCCCAGCTTTGGACTCCTTGCTCCTTCAGTTCACCCTGGTCTCCACTGATTTCAGGGTCCTCAGCACCAGGAGTCGTTTATTAACTGCCTACCATGTGCCAGATGTTTTATCTTCAGTTCTGGGCAGGTAGTGGTGATTATTCTCTCCATTTTACCAGTGAAGGAACTAAGACTCAGGAAGGCTAGGGAGTTTCCCAAGGTGTCCCAGCCCAGTAGCATTTCAACATGGTCTCACTCTACAGCCTCCTTTTCCATTGTTCCCCAGCAATTCCATGCTTCATGATGTTCAAGCCAGAGGATTCCCCCAGGAGTGTCTTCCCTGCCCTGAGAGCCTTTGGCCATGAGATGGCGCCAGGAGACTGCCCAGGATGGCCAAG